CTGTGAACGGTGATATTTCTTCACGTTATATCGGCATGGAGCTTCGATTTGAGGGTCACATTTGCGTGTTTTGCATCTATCAACGATCAGCGTAAACTCCTAAGCTCATTTGCTGCGATCGTTAGTCTTCACGTTTGCGATGTACAGTAGAATGTTTTCCCCTCTAAAAAATATACGGAGAATGCGCAGTTTCTGCAACTTCATCTTCTTTTGTACGACGCGCATGTAATAGGTAATGTTCAGTCAGATTGATAATGTCATCTATCCATCGTAGTGTAAGTCTGGTATTTGGCCTTGCGTCAGGACAACAGTTAGTATCATTTGTTTCAGATGATGGTAATTGATTTTCATTGCGTGGTTAAAATCGCAGTTTCTGCACTTGCATGTTTTTGTTGGCTCAAAACCGTCGTTCTTTGCGAAAAGCCATATTCGAGATTTGAACTAGTAGATCTTGGTGAGATTTCAAGAGTTGTTACTTCTCAAATATTAGCAATGGCTATAACTAGGAGAAACTTTCTCTCGTAGTCACACTTTTTATCATGTATAGATCCAAGATACCAGATGGCGGCAACCCTCCGTGACTGAAGATCGTTCATGATGTCCTATTGTTCATTTAAATGTGGTTTTGGCCACGATTTTAGCTTTGTTTTCCATCAGGTTGAATTCAGGAAATGAGAGTTTGCTTCAGATTTTAACATTTATCAACTTGATTTTCAACCGCTTATGCCCCCTCCCCCAAGATCAAATAATTATGCAGGGCATGAGTAAAAGTCATTTTAAAGGTCAGATAAAGCATTATCAGGTCGACGTTGCACAGACTTTTACCTCATGTAAGCGCATACTATGGAACATATTCATGTCACCCTTTTCTTCGGTTAGATTCTGTTGTACTCAATAAAACTGCATTTCATAACCCACAACTTCTTGCCTTAGAAAATTTAGTTTGAGAGGCAGTGCTCAGTGCTGAGTGTCCAAAATTCTCTTTATTTTGACTTTAGGCTAAATTTATAAAGCAAGTTTCTGGATATTTGGATGAAAGTTGGTAGATACCAGACAGATATAAAAGCAGATAAGCTGCGCAGCAATTAATTGAGAGCTGCGTGCAGCAGCCTGTAGTTTGACCTTGCGTACATACCCTGTAGTAATAGTCAATTGTTTTCACCGCAGGCGATTCTGTTTTGTGCCTTGACATCCTGTGTGCTTCAGTGACCTTAAAACATGTTTTTGCTGTCTTCGTGCACTGTGATGTAACTTTCTTCTAGTAAATTAAACGTTCGTGAAATCAGGTTGATCGTTTTTGTTAATTAACGTTTGCAGGTTTTAATTAGCTATAACCAACCATCGGTAATGATGTGTTTTTCAGCAGATTGTGTCCACATTTATCATTCGGCAAAAATTATGATATTTACAGAAAGCACAGAATGAATAAGTAACGGTACATGATTGCCAGAATAAAAATGGCGGCACGGCGATGTTAGTCATAGCGATCAACTGACGGAAACTGTTCATATTGATAGACGGGCTATTTCGAGAGTTCGTTGAGTGCAGTGTGTAGTACATGCTTGACAGTCTTCTCTTTTATGTTTTACTAGCAAGTTTTTTTTCTAGACAGACTTCCAAAGGGACATTTTGATTCAGTGCGACGCTATTCAGGCAACGGTCCCGCTTTTGTTCAGTTCCATCTTCAAAGTAAGCATTTGACTAAACTTTGTTACGTCTGTAAGGAATCTTTTGATTCCATAGTGGTTGAAAGTGCAAAAGTAAGTTTAAAAATTTATGGCCACCGGCATTTCAAGCTACACTGACAGTCTCCATCACCAAGGTCAGCTGACCAGCAGCAGATTTAAGCAGTATGTAAAACCACTGGTTTTCAGTTACCTCAACAGTATGCTGGTCTTAGATCACTGATGTTTTATATATGCGATAGGCGTTTTTTTCTTTACTGAACCACCACAGGAATTTTAAAGAGCTTTGATACACCCGAAGTTCTGTTCCATTACACCGCTAATGGACATTCATCGCGCAACATACAGGATTTTCAGAAGCATATTTTATGAACTCCGCGCTTTCCCTGTCGACTTGAAGCTATGTCTGTTGGTTCATGCGGTTTCTTTTATGAGTGATATTCACTGGCCGTAAATGCTTTTGAAATCTGTATAAACCTAGAAACATTACGTTGAAATAAATATGCGGTGGTAATGAACGTGGCATTTGCTGCAGTGGTGAGCTACACCTAATTATTCATCTTTAGTTCATAAGGTAGATAGTTTAATGGAAAGGTTTTTTAACGCTTTTTTCAGGGATTAATACAAACACAGTGGTGACTGGTACTTTCGTTGTGGTTTTTGATCAGATTGTCCTCTTAGACAGAAATACTTTAGAAAAGCAGAGTTTCCTTGTGGGTCCTGATTATGAAAGCCTCCTTTGCTGATCTTTTCATGGTTGGTGACAGGCCTTCGCTTGTATCATTGCGAATCCGGTATATAGACTCCACCATACTTCATCTTGTCATGTGACCTTACAGTTCAGTCGTTACCAACAGTTGGCAACAGGGGCACGTTGTTGTACAGTGGGAAGCACTGTCGCACTGTGAGTAATGATTCTTTGGTTCAGATGAGGCAGTGCTAATACACAGCGGTAGGTGCGCTAAGCCATGTTCATTTGGTTGGGAAATATTTTGAATCATTAAAAATATGCTTTGTGAAGCAGAGCAGATCATTTGGCAACTTCCCACTTATATGTTAACTTAAAATTTAGAAGTGATGTAGTTTCCTCCTGCGTAGTTCTGTTCAACGTGGTGCGCCGATCACACGTTATACTTATCATAAGTGATGCTGTACAAGCGAATAGACATTTATCTCTTCAGGTCAAACTGGCGGCGCTGAAGTTTTTCGTTCAATTAACTTTCGATCATCATGATGCCTGCCACGCGTTTGCCAACGGTATGCTGGCATACGACATCGGTTTCGGTCGTGTTGTGCTGTTATAACATGCCTTGTTTCAGCTGAGCACCTCGAGTACTCCGTCTTGAAACAGATCGAGTCTATGCTTTCGCGTGACCAGCCTTCCGACATACAGTCAAACGCGGCGAAATGGTGCAGTTGATTCAGTAATTTAATGATTCAGTGATATAACGTACTACGTTCTAGTTTTGTAAATCTTTGGCGATGCGGAGTGATCAACAACGAAAAGGACATCATTTACAAGAAGGTAATGCTCTACTTTCGTCTGCTTCCGCCTAATACATTGGTCGAAGCAATTAGCCAGCGCTAGAGGATTTATTTAACCTAATACCAGGCTCTGTTGTGATCTGTCTATCTTTGGCAGTTCATCCTTAATGGATATCACACATGACTGTTGCGACCTCACTCGATTTTCCATTGCAGGTATTGAATAGCACGTTGTCTACCCACCGTCTATAATCTCTTCACAACCAGAATGGCTTAGTCATTAAAGTGTGACACTCACAACCAGAAGATCACCGGTTCGAATCTCAGCCGGATCACTAGCATTTTGTCCTTCTGTGAGAAATAAATGAATTCCCCTTCTTGAGCAGTGGGCTGTAGACTATCCATTACAAACCGTTCTAGTGTGTACATGTGTATGTTGGGATCATCACCTTGAAACGTTTGTGATTGCTGTCTCCGCTGCTTTTCAACACTTTTGCTCTAAGGCATCGGTTATTACATCGCAGAACGAATTATTCCTTTCCGAACGCAGATTTGCTTTGTTCTTCCATGATGCATGTTAGCTTCCTGGCTACCGGCTGTTTAGGCTCCCAAACGAGAAGCTCGCGGACTGAGTAAATGGTTTATGCTGAATCAGGTTGTCTAGCAGGGCCAACTTCCTTTTCTTAATCTTCATATCCACTGAGACCGCTTGTGTCCGGAAGAGAATGAAGTCATTCCTTACGTGACTGTCATTTAATTCTCATTATGCGTTGAAACACTGCTGTTATACACCGTTTAGCTGTCTAACCAAAAATCTTCCCGATCCTTTCATAAAACAATTGCCTCCATTCCGTATAACATCACTACGCTGTTATATGCTGTTCAGCTGTCTAACCAAAAATCTTCCTGATCCTTTCATAAAACAACTGCCTGCATGCCGTATAACATCACTATCCTGACCGAGGCAAGGCGCTGATTTTTCTAGGAAGGGTTACTCCCTTCTCAGTCCAGATATTGAACAGTTTACCATTAGCACTGGAGGATAAGGAAATTCTCCTGTTTAACTCTGATTAACTGATGCAGTCGCTAAGGATGATGGGCCCTCGATATTCAGTTGATCAGCTGCCTCTACATTTT